TGAATGAAAATTAAAGGAAAAAAAAATGACAAAAAAAAAAGCAATGCATATCACGAAATTTTGTGCACTGTACAGTTTAAGATATTAGAATAATTAAATACTGTACTTTGTTTCGACACCCTCCTTTCTTTTTTGTAAAGAATTTAAGATTTCAAAGAAACTGGTCATGTAGTTTTTGTGCTGAATTTTTGGACAAAATAAAATGTCTTTGTGATATGTCACTGCGTAATTTTAATTCAAAAATTGTGTCTTTTCGCTACCTTAAATTGATCACAAGGTTATTTTTCTGAGTTATTCGAAATCTAAGATTAAAACTCACACTACGCCACATTACGTATCTGTGTACGGAGCCTTTAAGGCGCCCATTTACCACGCGGCGGTCCAAAAGCCAGTTAACCACATTTTGTGTTGTGCCGGCCACAGCCATAGCTTGTGTTATTTTATCTACAGCTCGGAACCTGACATTTTTACACAAGTCATTATTTGGTGGAGGGGAAGGGCCTGTTACATATGTTACAATTTAGGGCCACAAGTCTAACTCCAGTTCTAGTTGTGTGTTTTGTGTAAACTGGATTTAGAATTGGCAGAAACAGTGAAATATTTGAGCATAGGAACACGTTGTTAACCGACTTTTGGGCCTCGTATTTAAAAAAATTACATAATTAAAATTTTATTTTATTTTCTACACAAACAACCGATTTTTTTTTCTTTATATTGATTCAATTTTAAGACACTTTCCTCTAAAATTTTTCATTTTTTTTAGATCATTTGTTAAGTAGTTTAAGTATTATTTATGATTTATTGTTGTATGTTTGATTAGTGAACCATTTCGAGAAAAATCCCCATTATTATTATTATTTTTATACATATTTTTTGCTTAATAACAACTTAAAAATGCTTAAATTTCCCTTACAGAGACAATTTAATAGTTCTAATATGTAAAAAAAACTCCAATTATAGAGGTCAAATCGAAAAATTAAGGGGTTACAATTGGCGTGGGTGTGCAAAAGCAATACCAACGCACGTCCGTAGTGCCGGTGTAGCTATTTTCAAGTGTTAATGACCTGTTACCACGCGTGCACAATGTTAATAATATCAACAGAGGACGTTGTCACTCTATGACGAGTGACGTCAGCGAACTACACCCCCGACCGGTTATACGAGTGGTTTGTTTATATAAATCGTATAAGCTTACCACTTGCAATTTTAAACCTTTGTTTGTTTCTCCCCCCCTTATGAAATATGCATTAAAAGTCACATGGTTAACGAAAGTTCTATTGTTTAATAATTACGAAGGTCCATTCACGAGTATTGATTGGCGTTATGTCGTGAGCAGTTCCCTCCCCCGTCTTGCCTTACTGTATTCCTACGAAACTGATATAGCATTGTACCAATTTTGGTACAGTTAATTTATAAAAGGAACAGTTTAGACTTTACAATGGTCAGCAACGATAAAAGACAAAGAAAGTCGAATTTATAAATACGTATTCTCTTATATAATAAGCGGAAGTTAATTTCTTCATTTTAAAAATGAATTTTTCTTTTTTAAATATTAAAATAGAATTAGGTCGTGTCAACAAGTTTTTTTTTCTATAATTTACGTTCAAATTCATTGTAAAAAATAAGTATTTAATTCTTTCAATATTGTTCATCGCCGTTTACATATTCTAAAGGAACATTTTCCTCGAAGTGTTTTATAGTGTGTCTGCCTCCAACAGGAAAAAAATACAAAGACAATTTTATAAAATAGGTCTTATCACGTATATACTGATCTTTATTCCTTTTTTTTACTTATCATTGACAAAATTAGTATAATATATAGATTTCATTGCCTTTGGCACTACCTATCTTTCTGTCTATATCTACTGTAGTGTTGTAGTTGCAGTTATGGCGCTCAGACAGGTAAGAAAACACTACACTTCTCCTTACTAAATACTTAATGCAATGACAGGTGAGAAAATACTATTTCTATTTTGCGTAACGTTACAATAACCTTCCATTGTACAGTACTGCTGTTTACTAAGAGTAGAAGCGTAACGTTATTGATACTATAATCTAGATATATGACTCACCGTAACTGCAGGTAGGTAAGGTATAATTTACTGTAACGTTACGCCATTTTATAACACCTACTTTATAACGTTATAGTTGAATCTACCACGCTCAGACAGGTAAGAAAATACCGTTACAATTTAATTTTCTGTTACTTTAAGTGAATGCTGTAACGTTACGCCGTTACGCTCTTCGTTTCTAACGTCTACTTATGTTTCTAGTTTGCTTGGATTTTTGCAATTATTGCCGCATCTCACGCTATCTACGAAGATCTTCATCAAGTGAGTATAGGAGAAAAGTGATTAGTAGATGATGTACTCACGCTCATGGGACTGTTTTCTAGGTTAATCATCATTATCCTAATCCTTATGCATTCGGTTACGGTATCTCGAATGGTAACGATCATCAATATATGTCCGAAAGTGGGGACGGTCGAGGAAACGTAAGGGGAAGTTACGGTTTTAAAGGGGATGACGGTGTCTTCACTCACGCTTCCTACGTAACAGATAAATTAGGATTACGAAAGCCTACAATCAATAACGAATTAGGATCGTCTTTTAGTAAGAAAAATCCAATTTCTGTACATAATTCTCGTATTCTGTACCCACTTCTATCACCGAGTGTACAAGATGACGACGATAGAAGAAGCCATAGAATCTTCGTCGGAAGGAATATCAAATATTGGATATAATCGATGTTACTGATGATTAAAATGTACTTTTATACATAGTTATTGTTACGTATATGATTTGTAATGTATTAGCGAATAAAAGGTGTACATTTTTGTTCTGTTTATATTACTTTCAGTAAGATTATTATGGGTTACACACGAGCAGCGAGATGAAGATTTAAGCAAGAAACTTGAGAATCTTCAATTAAAACGTGTAGAAAATGTTAAATTTCATCATTTGTCCATAGAAAAAACATTACTTGTGTTTCGCAATTAAATAAGTAATCGTGAACCTTTTTGTTGCCTGCTTTAGAAAAAAAAAGAAGCAAGGATTTGAGAAATCATTTCAAAATTTTTACGTGAAATTACACACTTCAGTGTTAAGTAATTGAGCGATTATTGCACAGTCGAATACCTCTAAATTGTTTGTTAAACAACATGACATAAATTCTCACTTATTTCAGCAATTTGATTACTATTAAGTGGCAGTTGGTCACGTTCAATTAACTGGACAATAACGACTACCATTTAATCAATAATTGAACAATACGTTGTGGAATCAAAATTGCTCATCAAAATGCCACTTAACTAAACAATATGACCATCAGATGCCACTTAATTGCACAATTTTACCATCACATACCTCCTAATTGAACAATACGACCATTGACTCGCTATGGAAGTAAACAATACGGCCATTAAATGCCACTTAATTAAACAATACGCCATTTAATCATTTTTATACGATAAAAATATTAAAATTGATATTTTTATACAAGATTTAAGTAAAACACCCAAACTTTGTAACCAGAGAACACGTGAACCTATTGAAGTGTATGAATGAGGAAGTGTAGACCACGTGGAAAACTGGTTATAATCGAGTTGAAATAAAATTAATTAATTTTTACTCTATTTTTTTTTGTATTTATTTATTTAAACAAGTAACTTATTCATTATTTTTAGAACAATCGGGATTCTAAGAATCTAAAATCAAAATGCGAAGAAATAAGCCCTTAATTTTCCATCAAGTACGTGGAATTTGAAGTGTGGTGTCTGTGAAAATCAATGTAAGAGCATGAAATTAAATGATGTATAATTATGATAATCCTCGTGTACTCGTGTAAAAAGAGTACACGAGGATTAGTGTACTCTTTCCAGTAATCCTCGTGAGTCCACCAATGGATCGAGTACATAAACTTCTGCGGATTTGCACCTCACCTTGTTTTCTTCGCTTGTCTAACGTATAATTACGGTCTAATTTCCTCATAAGTCCTCCCGTGATGTAAACCCCCTGGTGTTCCATTGCTTTACAGCAAGTGCCATAAAATTTTTCGTAGACAGAAAGAAGCATTATACGCAACGAAGCCTCCCTTAACCAGCAATACCTTCCATAGACCCCTCTACTTATAAGAATACACCATCTTCATTGTGTCGGGAGTGCCTACACCGATTTATATAAGAATTAAATAGATATATATCAACAAAACAACTGAAATTTTAAGCGTTAACCGAGTAAACATTCGGTTAACATATAACTGACCCCATAATGGCTAAGCATTATTATGTAACTTTATATATATATCCGTTAGGGTGTAAAAAAATAAATAATTATTTTTAGATATAAATATATAAATCCTGATTTATCTATTTATATATATATAACATCTGGATATTCCCGATTTAATCAGTTAAATCGTGGTTCTATGACTCGTTACGCTGCTATTGATAATCGATATTCGGGAGATGTTATCGATCTGTTAATAAAGATAAAAAAGAATTTATATGATTTTAAACTCTTCTAAAACAATTGTTATAATATTTATTAATGATTTAAAATATATTAAATCATAAATTTTCCTCGAAATCTTTCTTTTTTAAACTCGTTTCGTACGAGGAATATAAAAACTCCACTTAAAAAACTGGAAAACGTTTTCGTATTAAATTCATTTATTCAATTAATTTTCTTGTATGTAAATTAGTTTATTTCGTAATTATTACAATTAAATTTCATTTAGAAAGTAATATTAGATCGAGTGTCGCGTAATGAGAAATCTCACATATTATCCCGAATCGTTACGTAAGAGTACAGGTTCGAATTCGAGCGCTTATATAATTTTCTCCGTGTTTAAAATTAGAAATTCAAGAATATGAAAAATGATAAAGATAGTAAGTAGTCTTTTACGGTGGCGAAGAAGGTGGCAGTATCAGTTTCTGTACTCTTTTTTCGTTTGGTCAGTTGTACTGATGCCTGTATTACTAGTATTTTATAGCCCGTGGCATGATCGTTGAACAGTATATAACTATCACACTTACCTCAAACGAACAACAATCGAGAGCTTTCTCTCAACTGATCAATACATCAAATCTTCTAGTGATGTTTCTACAGGTGATATATAAGTACTTTATAGAGTTTAATGAACCCTTATGATGGTTATATAATCTGGTATGGCTTATTTTAGGTATTAGTTGCTTCTGTAGTGGTGGTTGCCGTTAATGCAATCACCGGTGGATTAGGAGGAGGCCACGGAGGTTTGGGTGCTCTGGCAGGATTGGGTGCTCTTTCTGGATTGGGAGGACACGGACACGGTCACGGTCTTGGCTTAGGAAAGGTAAGTTAATTTGGATTGTCATTTTAATGTATTTTAGCTAAAATATCTTTATTCTAATTCAGGATATACATATTCCTCAACCGTACGATTATGGTTACCAAGTGAAAGCTAAGGATAGCGATCACTATCGTCAAGAGAAGGGGGACGGAAAGGGTGGTGTTGTAGGCAGTTACGGCTATAAAGATAAGAAGGGTATCTACCGTGAAGTGGATTACGTAGCTGATAAATTCGGTTTCCGTGCTAAGGTGAAAACCAACGAACCCGGCACTTCCAATCAAAATCCTGCTCATGCTGATTTCATTCATCATCATCCACCTCCACACGCTTACGCCGATAAAGGTTATCATCATCACCATCACGGTTTGGGTGCTCTAGCTGGTTTGGGTGCTCTGGGTGGACACGGACACGGACACGGACACGGACACGGTCATGGCCATGGATTAGGAGGACTCGCAGGACTCGGCCATCTCGGTGTTCTTGGTTAAACGCTCGTTTGCATAAGGTACACTCATTTCTAATGAAGTTTTATTGATATTTTTTAGGAACAGACACATATTAAACACTTAATTGTTTTCTTTTCAGAGCAACTCTAGCATGGCTTCAATGTATATTCGCAAGCTATTAGAGAATGTAACGTCTTTGCAAGCTTAAATTTTAAGTGCTTTTACGAGGTGTATACATTTGTATACGTGTTTTATGTGTGTAAATAAAGCCAATGGTTTTTTAAAATAGAAAAACGATATCTTACAAGTCTCATTTCATTTTAAGTAACGTTTCCTGAACGAAAATAAACAAGGATAATTCACATTATTAATAACCAAAAACCAATTTGTTTCCTTCACACAAAAGATAAAATATAATATAATATAATGTTACTATTCTCGAATGAAAATAGATAAATCGTGAGAAACTTTATTTTCGATTTACGTACAACATTTAGCATTATTTAACATAATTGCATCCCTCCTATGGTATAAAACCTTCCTTAAAATGGAAGTTCATTATCACTTCGATGGTAAGAAGGAAAATGAAGGACGTGAATTTAGTAACAATTCCCTATATATAACTAAGAAAGTAGTTCTAAAAACTACTAACAATAGTTTAGTGTAGATTAAAATCTTCTTATCACTTAAATTCTCAGTAGAAAATGTACATACAGGTCTACTTGTTCCATTAAAAGTAAGAAAAAAAGAATAATTATATTATTCTGTATTCGTTATTTATCAATCCATATCACAAACTTTCACTATTTTTTGAATAATTGGATCGAATAGATTCTGGATGAATGCACAAAGCGGTTTCGGTATTGAAGGTGATTGTACTGTACTTTGTCATATCGTATGCACCAGACCTTAATTTTTACATATGTAATTAAGTAGTTTGCTATTGTATAATAGTATAAATACTTAAGATATTCCCCCCTTTATTTTCTAAAAATATATTATAAATATAATAAAATTAATTATGGAAGAAATGGGTGAAGTGTTGTGGATAATTAAACTGTGTAATTGATTTTTTATAGTTTGTTGCATGTTTTTTGAAATTAAAATAAGGACAGATTTGTTTGTGTTTTATTGTCTTGAATTTTTAATAAATTTTAATTCTTTATGAGGAGTTAGAAGAAAACTGCAACGTATTTACATAATTATTGTTGGTAATTAAAGCAATTTTAATGGGTTCTGACATATTTGGGGGACAACTTTTTGGGCGAAAAGGTATTATAATCCAGTTTAATGTAACATTACTCCATTATTTTGGAATATGTAGCTAGTTCAAAACATAAAAATTACCATAAATGACCATAGTTTGTGTTAATAACGAACTGTAAACAGAGAAGAAACGAGTCAGTCGATAAATATCCATAACCTGTTAATCTTGGGGTCAAAACACAAACCATAAGTTAGGTCATAAATTTACCATACAAGTCGACCCCCTACAACATTGTTGATTTTTCCGTTTTATATGAATTCCGTGTTGTACGAGTCACTTAGATTTTACAAATACGTGTGCCGGGCTGTGAACGGATCACGTATTTGTAAAATATAAGTGATTCGTACAACATGGAATTCATATAAAACGGAAAAATCAACAGTGTTATAGGGGGGTGGACTTGTAATTTATGCTAATTTAAGAACTAAGAGAATAAAGGAACCGGTAGAAGGCTCGAGAACAGATTTATGGTACCAATAAATTCAAAAAAAAACTCTATAAATTTATGAGAAGAATAAGGAAGTGAGATTAATCATTTAATTCTAACTGGGTGGAGATTAATTAAATTAAAACAAAATCTCGTGGCAGCAGATAACCGACTACCGCCGCGAAATTTAAATGAAATATTTGAACCGGTTCGACTCTCCCAGAATCCCCTA